TTAAATTAAATCTTAGATAATTTATCTTCTACGCACTCCTATATGCCTCTGAAGTGACCTTACGTGCGAAACAGATCCGATTCGTCTTGCCTGCGCCGTTACAAGTTAAGTAGTTCAACGTTACTAACTCCTTAATATATACCTAACTTTATAAACAAGTTTATATATATATTCTATAGCTATTAAAAACTTAGTACTACACTTAACCTCTTAAAGGCACTCTATAAGCTATAAACATTACTAGCGTTATAGTAATAAGACTTTATAGTAACGCTTACTAAGTTTAAGTTCTAGACTATGCTCTATTAATTGCCGCGATTGCCTTTTTGATAGCTGTTATGGTGGTGGAGATATCACGCGTTGAAAATGATGGGTGGTTTTTGATGGGGTAGATGGTGTTGCATTGGCTGAACTGTTGCGTAGATTAAGTTCTGTATCAATGAGACACATTTGAAACGCGAGCAGAGCACTATAATGTTATGTTTTAAAGTAGCTTTTTACGAACTACATTGTAACTTAGTAACTTATCATGATTCTACAAAGTCCGCTTGTTTTGACATGACCAAGATCCTTGCGCAGAGATCTTTCACTATCGAAGACTCAATTGGAATGCGATGTGCACCTTCCCATTCTACCAAAGTGCTGGACTCCTTTGAGCAGTATTTTTCGTATAACTCTCGTTGTGAGGGTGCCCACTCATCCTTAACGCCAATAACATGCAGGGTAGGCTTTGTTATGTGTAATTCTCCAGAACAATTAACATTGTCCAACGCTCTGTACATAGGGTCATGTTCCGCCGTGGATTGTGATGATAAATGGTCATTCTCGGGACAGAAGGCAATTAGCGGTGCAGGACCAGAAAACAAGACAGCAAATTGCCATCGTTGGTCCCACAGCTTGGTCTCAATGTTGTCTCCCTCATAACCACGAACAATTCCACCCTTCTCTTGGATATTTTGGCGTCTTTGTGATTCGAAAAGGACAGAGGCAGCCAGTCTTGCCCCTTGACTGAAACCCATGAGGCCAACCCATTGGCCACTAGCACCAGATTGCTCATCTTCTTTCATTGTGCCCTCTAGACATTTCCGTATTGCTTCCATGTGAAGCCGTGGTTCTTGAGCCCGGTTTTGTAGAGGCCGGCGAAGCCAGCTTCGGAAGGGGCCTGCATCTTTGTACACAGGTAGTACCCCTGGACCGGGATCAGAAAAAAAAGGACCATTAGAATAGACAAAGCGGAAAGACGAAGACAGCTGATCGCGCAGAGCACGGGTCTGTATAAACAGAATATCACCATTTGACCCTAAGCCTGTTTTCATTCTGGTTAGAGTCTTTTTATGAAAAGTAGCAGTAGGGTTGTATACCATGTAAACAAAGAATACGAGGTAGTTTGAGCGATGGGTCTGACATAGTTCGATAGGGAGTTATCTATAATCTAAGATGTACATTATATAGTTATATCAAATTCGAAATGTTAGAAAAGCAATCCCTAAGGTAGGACAAGGATCAAAGCAACGCTAGTTAGTCGCAGAGATTAGCCATATAGCTATGGCCTCAGTCACCCCCACCTGGACCAACCATTTACAGGGTACCAGATAGCAGCAAACGGTGAGAGAAGAACTTCAAACACGGCTATCACAACGTTTCACCTCATGAGCTAACTTTACTTTATGTTTTCTTGGCTAAAAATAGCCCACGGTACTGCTCATAGCATAGAAAAGCAAGTCCCTGGCATTCCTGCTTTTTTGAGCCTGCATGAAACATGGGGGTTCTTTTTACAAAGGAACAGAGTTTTCTATTTTCTTTTTTATATTATCTAGGATTTCGGCCGACATTTATTAATCAAGCTAGTTTGCGCATAGAAAGTTCAAAATAGATCATTAGAGCAGGATCAATCCTCCAGTAGCTGAAATCGTCTGTCCTGTAACCCACTGACTTCGAGGCTCAACAAGTAGAGATACTATCCTAGCTATGTCTTCTGGTGTACCAACTCTACCACCCATCGGTGTCATTGACGCTACTGTCCTATGATACGCCGCCGAAGATTCTTCAGCTATGATTCTCTCATACATATCCGTCTGAGTTAAGCCTGGAACTACAGTATTAACTGAGTGGCCCTGTGGGCCTAGTGATGTTGCCCAGAACCGAGCAAGAGCTTCTACGGCAGCTTTGGATGCAGCGTAAATCCCACTCGATAGGCCTCCTGCATGCGCTGAAGATGAGCTGATGTTGATAATACGACCCGGACTGCGAAGATACGGGATTACCGATTTAGTCATGAAAACCACGGCGCGGAAATTGACATCAATGCATTCATTGAAATCTTGTAGACCAAGTTCAGAGAGGGATACGAGACTTTCGACCCCTGCATTGTTGACAAGGATATCAATATTTGGCCCGAAAGCACAGATGGTTGCATCAATAATCCTCAAAGGGGAGTCTGTATCCCGCATATCCGCTTGAATTTTGATTGCGCGAGTCGTGTCTGCGGATTTGTTTATAGAATCGATGATAGATTGAGCAAGAGCTTCGCTACTAGGCGACACGAAGGTTATTGCCACCTTGAATGTTTCAGTCATCTGAAAATATTTGGTTAGGATTCGAGTCTACCTTTGCCCCACATCTCGCTAACTCGTACGCTATTGCTGCACCAATCCCACGGGATGCTCCAGTAATGATAGCTACTTTCCCTTCAAGAGTCGACATATTTAGATGTAGAGAGAAATATTGCAATAACATTAGTAAAGCATGGGAAACGATGAGCAGGAACATGATTTAAGTATTTTGTAGCTCTAGTAGAAAGGTGTTAAACCATAGTTCTAGGTAGAAAAAAAGTGGGGACCTACGCGATATCAGCTCTAGAGAGCTGGTTTTCCAAATTCAGAAACCCCGTTATGGCTCCGGGTACCGTAGCGCACGGCAGTGTGTGACTAGAACAGTGGTATGCTCGCTCTACCCAGCTGAACCTCAATAACGATAAAGCCGAAGAATTTTATCTTAAAGCTACGACTATAAGCATAATAGCTTTAAAAAGAAAAGGCCCTGGCCTTAACTTGGACAGTTTAACCGTTTCAAGCTAAGGACATGACTAATGCAGAAGTCAGCGTACAGCCGCTGTACGCTGACTTCTGCATTAGTCATTCCATGGAGGTTGGGTTGTAAACGACCTAAACGCCCATTAGATAGCTCCTCGATGGGATCTCGGTTTAAGCTGGCAAAGGTTATTCGACCACGCGATAAGACGTTAAATAACCACGCGGTAAGCAGGGGTCTGCATTAATAGCGCGCTATTATAACTATATAGAATTTGTACTATAATAAGATAGCTAGGCACTTATTTTGTTACTTACTAATTATTGGATATAATATATCTAGTAAAGAAGCTTAGTATTATAGTTTAGCTAGGTAGCTGGGGGGCTAGTAAACCTCTTATCTAGTATCTTATAACGCGTATAAACTATTAAAATATAGCTTAAAATTAATAAGTTTTACTACTTAGATGTTACACGGGGTCTAGATCTATACTTCTCT